CTGCGCATGCGTGATAAATTCAAATTAGTACTATTTAATCTATCATTAAACGAATAATTTTAAGCGATAAACCATCACAACATACATGAACACATCAAATAATATACATTCTTTATTATGAAACTACAATTTAATAAGAGAAGTGTGTATCAGAAAAAATAACACAAAATGTTTACTATGCAAATTGTGCCACTCACCATGTATGATAATTGGACAGAGATTACCTACACTAGAAAAGCCTGATTTTGGAAGGTTTTTGGGCCAAAAAGTAATTTTAAAATGATTCAAGCCAAATAAAAAAAAAATGCCCTGGAGATATTCACACAAGCTATTATAATGCCAAGTTTCAGAAAAATAGACTGAAGGGTTTTTGAGATATCTTTGTCTACAGCACACGGCCTACGGCACACGGCTTACAAATTGTGATAGCATTAGTCCGTTGGTCCAAAGGACTAAAAAGAAGAGTGATTGTACGGCCGCCTATGGCGCTGCCATGTGGCCTCGGTCACGTTGGTTCGTGACGTAAGGGGTAAAAGAATCTTGGGGTCATGGGGCTTCCCCTGACCTAGATTCTATCTCTCCGTCACCGGCAGAATCGCTGATTAATGCCTACAGTTCAAAATAGTCATTTTGACTGACCGGAGTCTATGGTGGGTAATTGAACATAGTGAATTTGACCTTTAAATCACTGACCTCCCAAAGAGACACACTGGCTCCCCTGTATTTAAAACTCATTAACATATTAACTGCCTTTTGTGCAAAATGAAGAAAAGGAAAATTTAGGTGTGAACAGTTCTGACTAACAATGAACATGAATAATTAAGTCATAATTACATAAAAAATGTACAGGGGCAGAAACTCTTGTGGCACTCTCTGTATCTGGGTCTGGGCAGCTATTTGCATCCAAGGTCCTTTGTCAAAAACTATACAACAGATACTAAACTATTACATACAAAGACGAGGATAAAATGACAACATATACATTCTTTCATAACTCAACTTTTATTAATTGTGAGATATAATCAATTATACATTATCTGACATTGTTAACAGTTGCATTGCTTGTGTGTGGGTATAAACAAAAACAAGTACGATTAAAATTTGTATGCACAAAGATTCATGTGATGCTACACAAAGCCAATATCAAGAAAAATGTTTAATCGCACTCGTCTGTATTTTTTTCCCTTCAGCACAAGTGAAATTTCACCATACTATGACCCTCAATACCAATGGAAATCTAGTTTTAAGATAATAAACATTTCACCAGTATCCCATGCGATACTATACAAATTACTAACAGTGTACTAGACAGATAAAGAACTTTTCAAGAAACAGATGCATGAAGACATGTTAGCCACCACACGCATGTAGAAGAGTGTTTATAGTCCTGTCCAGATGGTTACTAAACGTGTAACTGCATGAATTCTCATGTTTATAGTAATGACAGAAAGGCTGGGATTGGGATACACATTATATGGTAGTAAGGGTTTGCACTGAATACATTTTGAAAACTGTAATTCATCACTATTTTATTAGTGACTGTCTCTTACACACAGTTACTGAATAAAGATTGAAAGACTTGTATTTTGTATTATTTAATGTTTTCAATAATTACAGCAATGCCTTGACCACCACCAATACAAGCTGAACCAATAGCATAATTTCCCTTACGTCGCCTGTAAGACAAAAAAAATGCATTTCCATTGGTATTAATTCTAGACAGTTTAACAGTGATTGTCAGCTAGTTTTTGACGTTACCTACTAGTCACACAATTTTACTATTTAAGGACATGAAAACACAAGAGGGGTTGCCTAGTAGCTTCTAAATTCATTATATTGAAATAGAAACAGGCCAGAATCAAACTCAACCCAACATTGAGAGACTATAGAAATATTACATGATGCAGTTTATGTCTTGACCTGATTAAACACAGCATGGACCACCAGTGTACCAACTAACAGGACGGATATTGTAGGGATCTTGAGTCACAATTCCAAGAATCAAGTTAAGCCACCTTGGTGACTGCTGAAGAGAGCTATTCCTAAGAAATAAAGACTGCATGTGGCTGTAGATTGTTTCTAAAAAACATACAAAAACTGTTGTAGCAACGCAGTTTTCATTGGTGTTTGACATTTTACAAATTTCATAGATGGTTTTCAAGAATACTGGTTTACCCAGGGATAAGCACAAATCAAAGAAAGCTTAGAAAGAAGTCTCAGGTGCTAAGAGTATTGGAGACGTATTAAAAATTAATTCAAAATTTAGGATTTGCTTTGCAAACGAGAAGCTTGGCAACTAATTTTTTTTGTTATTTGAGATGCATAACATGAAAAAAAAAGGTGATTCACATTATCAAAATTTATATAATACATACAGAAAATATATTTGAGTTTTCATCCATGCTTTTAGCCTAATTTATTTCAGAGCACCTCTGCGATGAATTTAATTTTAATCTGATGTTTTTAGATATCAGAAATGGGCTAATAATAGATAATCAATATGCATGTTTATCAACATTAAACTAATAATGTCTGTGGATTACCTCAATGAACCAAATGAATTATTATACAAATTAAACAATTATTATGCATAGATTTAGGTCTGTATATTGTTTCAGGGTGCACATTAGGGTGCAAATTTGATAATTAATATGCACTGATTTTAACTCAAAACTAGGTCTGTGCATTGTCCTAGAACATCTATGTATCAAGATTCATTGAAATGGGATAATTAGTACTTGTGATATCAGTTTAAAAGCTGAAAATTGGTTATTTATGCAAATTTGATAATTAATATGCACACATTTTTCCTTGAAATTAATCAGGTCTTTGGATTGTCCTAGAGCATCTATGTACCAAGTTTCATTGAAAAGTAATGAAGTAATAGTACTTGAAATATCAAGAGCAGAAAATTAATTATGCAAATTAGGTATTTAATATTTCGCATATCTGTCTGTGCATCATCCTATGTATTTATGCAAGTTTCATTGAAATGTGATGATTAGTACCTGGGATATCAGTGGAAAAGCCGAAAATTTACTAATCATTATGCAAATTAGGTTAATTATATGCATGGATTTTTACCCCAAATTTATCACATCTGTGCATTAGTCCAGAGCATCTATGTACCAAATTTCATCAAAATCTAATGAGTGGGTCTTTAGATATCAGTAGAACAGTCAAGGAATAGCTAAAAATTAGCTAATTATCATGCAAATCTGGTAATTAATATGCATGGATTTCAACCAAAACCTAATCAAATCTGCGCATTAGCCCAGAGCATCTATACACCAAGTTTCATTGAAAACCAACATACAGTTCTTGAGATATCGGTGGAACGAACAGACACACACACACACATGCATACATACATACATACGTACATACAGACATACGGACAGGGTAACTGCAAAGACCCCCATGTGCGAAGAACACAAAAATGAATTCTAAGAAATTGACCACCCAAACAAACTCTCAAATATCTTTCAACACAGAGATTATTACAGATTTTTTTACTTTTTGTTTATATTAGTTACAATTGGAATGATTAAATTATGTATTTATGCACATCAAATGAATATTCATGAGGTGGTACTGAAGTAACTAAAATCAATGATATTATATGGCACAATTGAATAAAATGTTTCAAATACTTGAAAAACAAGACATAAAATGTCACAGTCCCTGCCATTCAATTCTAAAATACTCGTGTTAAAATAATACACGGAACATCTGCAAACAGTTGAATTAATATGTACTCTATGCGGGTACAACTCATAAAGTGATTTCCCTTAATCTAGTATTGTACTGATAACTAAAAACTTCCATTGACCGAGTCCAAATCTCAGATAAGAGTACACAAGTGCAACCAAACTATATCTCATACATGCTCAAGAAACTGCATTCATAAATCTGAGTAAACCTTGATGTACTTGATGTTCAGGCTCCTGAAACGGGGACTAAAAAAGGCTTTATACAAAATGTATCTGACAAGGTCATATACATACCTGAGTTCATGTGTTAAATGTGCTGTGATTCTACTACCAGATGCACCCACTGGATGTCCCAATGCAACTGCACCCCCATTCACATTTGTTTTTTCAGGATTCAGTCCAAGCTCTTTCTGGACAGCCAAGAACTGAGCAGCGAATGCCTCATTTACCTAGTAGTAATGCAGAAAAAAACTCTAATAACTATTTGTAACTAAATACAGTGAGCATGGAGCATGTTTAAATGGTAATATGATAAGCTACTTTTTTTTGTAATTGGTGTTAGAATGCAACTGTCTTTCAGAGTTTTTTAGAATCTTTCATAAGCTATGTAAGCTGCAAAAAAAAAACTTAACACATTGCTTCCTGAAAGCCTCTAATGGATAGCGGATATGAATGACATAAAGCTTCAGCAGGTCACATGACCCATAAAGACTCATTCAGTTCCTTTAAAATCTAGCAGCTGTCAACATCAAATCCATATATATACAACTATGAATATTATAGAAGTAAGTATGTATGCCACAATTATGATAATAAATTGCATATGCGTGAAGAGTTCGTCCTTAAAAGGTAAAAAAATACACCAGAAAACATCTTGTAGCAGAGTCGCCTGATATTGGAACTGTAACCATTGTATGTTATGTCATACATGGTGAATTAAGGTAGAGATGCAGTTTACCTGACAGGTATTTT